GCCAACGTGACGTAGGGTATTTGGATCGCGAGCAAACCATCCTGAAGGCAATATGTATTGATTAGAATCGTCACATTGCTCACATAATAGTGCTAATCTAAACCAGTTTTATGAATACGTTATCCAGTAATATCAGTATACAGCAATCAAAGACCTCGTCCATATAAAATCCAATCATCCTACCACAAACAGTATAATTAACACATTTATGTATCCATACCAACAGAGTCAAGACTAGAAGATACTGGTATGATTCCAGTGTTTGAAACAGCCCCATGGGAAAATTTGAATCCAAGAACGCCACAGTATCCAGCAGGCACTCTTACCCCGCCAACCGTGTCGATGCCTGCAATGGTGCAAGTCATAAAAACCATATTATTAAAACTGTTGAACCAGAGCCAGTGAATGGTTGAGATTTTAGAGATGGATCAGAGGGACCAATGACAGTGTATGGAACTATTTTCCGATATAGCCACAAGATAGCAACTATATTAGTGGTCAAATAAGTTAATTACAAACTGTTAGATCATAATATACAATGCTTATACAGAAAAGTTGGGTTGTGGTTCTCTATTGGGGTATATCCCATCTCTACTGTAATGTGAATGTTATGGAAGCAAGTGTTTTGGTTCAGTGATTCTTACAGCCCCTTCTAAGCCTTCACTATCACGTTTATGGTAAAAGCAACATGAATGCAAAAAGTGAACTTATTTATGGTGACCGCAACATCTTGTTTAGAACTGCAATATGGTGGAAGCTTTGATGAAAATGTTGTGTAAATACTAAACATGTTTACAACTGTTTCAGCATTTTCATTTTCCTAAAGGCTGATAGTTACCAACCGTGTTTTGACAGTGCAATGTTTTGCATAGGGTTATCTCGTACCAAATTGTCCTAACAAGGAAAAAAGTATCAACAAAACTCACCTATAGCAAAATCCACAGCGTTAGTTGCTACGGCAACAGCAGCTCCACTGCAAGCGCCACCAGGAATACGAGCAGGAGCTGCAGGATTTGTAGGTGAATCATAATGCTTGTTTTCTCCACTGATACTGAAGAGAACAAAAAAACCGCAAAACAAAGGAATCAAAATACTTGTACCCGTAATGAAATAAAAATTTCAACAGTGGAATCACAAACTACTGGTCATTATCTAAATTCTGATACAGGTAAACAAGTTTACATATGTATTCGAAACAGAGACAAACCTAAAGGCAAGTTCATCAACTATAGTTTTTCCAACACAAGTGGCTCCACCTTCAACGAGAGTTGAAACCACAGGACATGTTGAAGAAGCAGCTTCATGAGTCTTGACCCAGTCTGGATGACCAAAGCCAGTCACATAGCCTTGAATATCGAATCTGGAAAACAGATGCGAATGAAAGAAAGAGCACCTTCAGCTTATTGAAACCTTAAAATTCAACAATTCATACAAGAGAATGAGATGTGCACAGAAATTTGAATCTACTACAAGCAAAATTTCAGTATAATTCCTCAAAATGAATCAATCATACTCTTGCAAGTTCCCAAACAGACATAAAATGCGCCAGAGAAGAAATAAGAACGGATTCAACGATTTTCGGCAATCGAATTTTGACTAGCCCAGCAAAAATTCTTCACCTAAAATCCCCAAAATTCCACTTAAAAAACATATAAAGTCGGAGAAGAAAGGCGAAACAAGTCTTCCGGTGACTTACAAGTCGGATACGGCGAAAGAGAGACCGGTGAGAGGATGAGGAGCTTTGGGAGGAGCAGGTTGCGGCGGAGGAAGCAACAAGAGCTTGTCGATAAAGGCGCCGAAATCTTCACGGATAGTCTTCTTCAGCTTCTTCGTAGCCAGAAGAATACCGGCGAGACCTAAACCTAGAAGGACCCAGAGATTCGCAGCGTGAGACGCCATCGATGACGTTTTGAAGCTGCTTAAGATA